TCTGTCGTTTGTTCCTGTACTTTTATCCCTTATCCTTCTTTATCCTTTCTATCTTGTTTTATCTTTCTTTTAGCTGCAGCTTTCTTGCCTTTTTGATTATCTATTATTATCCCTCATACAAAAATAACTAAGTACGCATGGAAGTTGAGGAGGCCCCTGGGACGACCTAGGAAATCGTGGCTTGGGCAGATTGACCAGACCTGTCGCCAGCAAATAGTGATGAGCTGAGGACCTGCCTGGCGGTTTGCCATGAGGACCCTCGTGGTTGGACGCGAAGCGGAATTGCGTCTATGTGCCCCCGCCTCGGCGTCAGCCCTATTAATTAGTCTATGTGATTAGTTTCACCTGACCCAGAAGTGATGCGCATCCTTAATAAGCTTTAAGTTTCATGTTTATTGAAATAGAAAGCCTTAAAAAGTCTTAAAAACGGAGCTTTATTTTGCCACAGGTCTTAAAGGCCTTACATTCGCCCAAGGTACAAGGCAAATATACTTCAACCTGGTGCGGGCTGATGCTGTTGCAATTCACTTCCTTAGAAAAAATAATAATAAATAAAAAATAGACCTTTTTTTCATATGCTTTTCATTTTAAATGTTGCAGCAGGAACAACGAAGGGAAGAATATGAAAACACACGAATATACTGAAGGCCTTTTCGTTATTGATTCATCAGAGTATACATGACAAGATATGGAGGATAGTTTGTGGCTCCTGGTTACCACAGAAGAAAGAGATGAGCAGCTCCCTTTTCTAGACACCTTAATCCACAGAAGACCAGATGGTCCGGTATTCTCCGTGTACAGAAAACCCACAAATAAGGATGATTTCATATATTATTTCTCAGCCCATGGCAAAAGGACTAAAGAAGGCGTGGTCATTGGCTTCGTCTTCCAAGCCCTCAGAATATGCAGCCCGGAGTTCTTGGGGGAAGAAATGCAACACGTCTATAACACCGTCCAACACCTCTACTATCCTCGCTCCATGCTTATCCACCTTCTACGCAAGGCCGAAAAGATCATGAACAGACCGAGAGGGAACGACACGCAGAACAAGATTCACAGAATAATCATCCCTCACTCGGAACTGACAACACCTCAAAGCCCTAGTGGGTCACACTATAAAGATAGCTACATCTTCAAACCAGAAGATTGGAGATATCTTAAGAGAAAAGAGGTCAAACTACAACAGACCCCTCATCCAGGTATACAGCATACCCAGTGGTGGTTGTGATAAAGTTTACATAGGCGAGCCAGCATGAGGACTACATGAGCAACGAATCAGCCAACACCACAGCGCTCTCCGACGTTACACGAGAAGCGCCTCTGTTGTTCACGTAGACACCGTCGGTCACCTGCCGAAGAGGTCCCAGGCCTCCATCATAAAACAAAGCCTGCCCCAACGACAAAGGAAGATGGTAGAAGCGGCGTTCATTCATACAACGAACGAATTTATTGAGCCAGCTATAAATCAAACCATACTTTTGCCTGTGTATGTGCATTTGTATGTCCGTACAGTATTTAAGTGTGTTTGTGTCTCCATTTGGTCATCCGTATAACATATCCTGTTAATCTCTTAATATAATTATTTTTTAATAATTTGCAAAATGAACACCAGTGCTTATACAAAACCATCCGCCTACCCATTTCTATTTATTTGATAAACATTTAAGTTAAAGGAAAACGTATACTAGAACATGCAAATATTAATAACGAAAAAATGAGCATTATTCAGTTCCCTTGACCATTGTATTTGTTCCCAGGTGTTCGGCAACCATTGATCAGTTCAAACATGTTTATGCATTATGATTATTACACAATTGTTAGACAAATTGGTTCTATGAAATTTCGGCTCTCCAAGTAAAACGTTTTCGTGTAGACCTGTACTACATCTTTATGTCTATAGGTTGACAATAAAAAATCCGGCCAACGATAATGCGATTCCTTCAGATTTCCGGCACTGATTTCGGAGCTCATTTTCAAATTTACCGCATTGCACGCCAGTTTTCTATAAGTAGCCGTTAATGTTTTGATGGCGCTGTACTCTAAAATCAGCTGTTGGGTCTTCCACGTGCTACCACGCATTGCTGCTTATTTCTTCTCATTTCATCATGTCTTTGCTGCTGTTTAGCTCCATGATAGATTCAGCAAAGGAAAGATGTGGTGTAAAGTGTAAACGTCATTGTAGTTGGCAACCTTTAAAATTTCCTTTGCTTTTCATTTGAAGTTCTTTTTTTTTTTTTTTTTTTTTTTTTTTTTAAGAGGACTGGGAATGTAGTCATTTTCTGCTAAATACATACAGCATATGTAACCATATAAATCCCGGCATTCTTAAAAATCCATCACTCAGGTCTGGAGGTTGCCGGAGTTTTAAATGTCAACATGTAGTGATCAGCATATATACTTCATGATATAATCACACACATGCATTAAAGTACATAATAATCTGTTACTCGGTAACAGAATGTGTTTTGGATCATGTTGTGTAATGTTGTACAGTAATAGATCGCAACGTTTCGAGTTAGACGAGACTCCAGCTAACAATAAAACCAATACAAAAAAAGGAATAATGAAGCATAGTTTCGATTTAGACTAAGGCTGTATCACACTTAGACTTTTTCCGCTGGCACCATGGAAACCGTTTTGGTGCACGCAGTCACAATAGGGATGCGGATCACGGAACCAGTCCGACGAAAATTGTAAACACTGCAAGATGGCTCCAACGCCCACACAGGCTCTGGCAATGATGGACGTTATTCTGTCTTTGAGGCGACGATTTAATGTAGTTTGCGAGGTCTAGCTTCACCTGGGCCTTTTCTCTGGAGTGGCACGGCCTGTGTCAGCTATTTCTACTTGGCTCATGTGTTTTCTTTGAACTGTATGCTTAGAATGGGGGCTGGAAAGCAAGCAGCTGCTATGGCGTAAGCATGTGGCATGCCCCCTTTTACTAGCCTAGCAGCTGTGGTCTGGGGTGCCTGTCTCAGAAATTGTGTGTTTGTATTTCTGTAAGTAATGTAACAGGGTGGCGTTCGGCTTGCCACAATGTTTGCATTAACTGACAATCACGTCCTCAAGAATTTTCCAAGCACATGAGTGACCTAGTCTTAATCTGTGTAGCATGACTTCAGTACCTCTTTTTATATTTGGTGAAAGGACCGGTGGCCCATAGCCTGTGGTATCTGAGTGCAACTTGGCTGAGAGCGAGTTTGAGGTATTTTCTCTGTGCGTTCTCTGGAGAATGGCAAGCGCTGTAGCTTTGGTACTTTGGCTTGGGTTGACGATCATGGGAGTTAGGGGCTTACCCCTGCCCTTTTCGGCTAGTCTTTCAGCAAGCTTATTCCCTTGGATGCCTTTGTGGTTGGGAATCCAGTTAATGATTATGCTTCAACCCTGATTAAGGATCCTCTGCGTTATGGTGAAGACCGTGATCAGTAGGTAGATGTTATCTCGGGGAATGCTATTCTGTAGATTGTCACTGGCTGATCTTAAGTCTGTGACCACATATCTTAAAGATGTGTGAGCCAGGGCTCCCTTGATCGCAACTCTTTCAGCTTGGAGCGATGAGGCATTGTCAGTGACCTTAATGGATGTTGTGGTATCCCTTGCTCTGAAGCCGGCGCCTGCAGTGTGGTTTATGGGATCCACGGATCCGTCCGTATAGTAAATTCTCTTACCCGGGGGAGTTATTTGTACAATGAACCTTTGTACTTATGCCTGTAGGATAGGCATAGAGTATTGATCTTTTCTCCTTGACAAGCTCAGGAGTGAGAACTCAATCAAGGTGTTTGCACGGCGGGGTTCTCTGTAGTCAGGGTGGGAGGCGTTAATCCCCTTGGCAAGCAGTTATTTGAGCTGGAAGCGTATCAACACTCTGGCTGTGTGTGTGTGGGCCAGGAGTTGTCGGCAAACATCTATTAGTCTTGCTGTAGGCGTCCGAATACTCTGTCTCATTTATGAATTCGGGGTGCCTCTATGACCTTGGAAAGAAACTGGGCTGCCACTAGATCGATCCGGGTGTCAATTTAATGCGAAACAGCACCGAATGTGTAATGCTAAATAACATGGTCTTCTCGCTTTTCTGCTCCAATAAGGGAACGGGGGGACGTGGTCAAAGATTTAAACAAACAGGCGAGCAGCTAGTTATCAACTTGTATCGTTTAACAAATGCAAGAAAGAATTTTAACATTTTTTGAGTATTATTTACTATTTAGACTATCTTATTGAATCGTTTTATTTGATAAATAGATTTTTTTGTTTTGCATTACTATAACGATTATCTAATATAACTTATGATTTCAACAAAAAAAAGCCAACAGAAAATTTGCCTACGATAATTATCGTCTGATTGGAAATTATCACATTCAGCCAATATGCCAGCGGTAGCGAGAAAAAAAAAAAAAAAAAAAAAAAAACAAGAGAACGGAAACGTGAAAGAACCACGGAAATAGTGCTA